TGTGTGTGTGTGTGGCTCAAGTTCTGGAGTGGATGTGTGTGTGTGTGTGCATGTTCCCATGTGTGCACCTACATGCACTTAATGCAGAGGCAGGAGGAAGTGGGAGGAGGAGGATGGAGAAAAGGAAGGATAATGCTGTGATGGAAGAGGAATATGGAAATGCCAGATCTTTCTGTTCTGGATGGTAGGGCTTAAATGGTGAGATCCGATCATCCTCAATCCCATACTGTTTCAAAAAACAGATTTTACTGTTTTGCTGAGGTTCTTCCAATTTTTCATTTTCTTTAACCCCATTCCTTCTCTCTTCCCTCCTTTTCTCCTTTCATAAAGTCTCTTTCAATATAAAATCCCAATATTTTCAAAAATATACTAGCTTTGGATGAAATGCAAAGAACATTTGATACCTTAGAAGCAGGCACCAAGTCCTGGCTACACTTAATCCCCTTATCTGCAGGATAAGGATGAAAACGCCTGCCCCCAAATTTCACTGGCAGTTTGGGGTTCAATGGGCATCATGTGTAGAGAAAACTTGTAGTATCAAGAAAATGCAAGAATTCTTAAAAAGCCATTACAGATAAGAGAGAGAAGCTTGGCCAAGAGTTAAAGAAACTTGTTTGTGAATTATTAGCTGAGCTGTGTCCTAAAAAGAAGAGAGGATAAATATGCAAGTACAGAAAACAATTTAAGGAACTCACTTGATTAGCTTCAGCTCAGAATGGAGTATTTCAATGAAGTATTTAAACTAGAGATGACTCAAGGCTCTTTCTCTTTTCATATGTGAACATTTCTCTTACTTGAAAAAACATCAAATTCTTAATCAGAACACTTTAAGTATTAAAAAATATAAATCTGAGGGAAGCAGCTTTAACTTACAGCAGTGGTTCTTAACTTGGGCTAATTTTGCCTCCCAGAGGTCCTTTGGCAATGTCTGCAGACATATTTGATTGTTTCACTTGGGGGGTATGCTCCTGGCATCTGGTGAAGACGCTGCAGACCCCCACCACGAAGATTAAGGGTCCCAATGTCAATAGTGTTGACATTGAAAAGAAATACACTAGACTTTATATTATAGAACATTTGATTGGTAATTTATATATCACACAGTTTATCACAAAGCAAGTTTCATTGCTGAAATGTTATCCTATATAAACAGCACCTATTAGAACAAAAAATAAAGGTGGGGGGGAAATGTGTTTATATTACTGATGAGATATCTAGTGCAGAAGTCGTGACCCCCAAATCTGATGAAAGAGCCAGACATTTCTTTGGTTAAGGTTTATTTTTGGTTGTTTTTTTTTTCTTCCGATCCATATGCCTCCTTCTGTTTTCTCATCTGAAAAAATAGACAATTGAGCTTCAGTTTCTGAGAAGGACCTATGAAAAAATATGTATTTCTAAAGCACTACAGAGCAGTATTATGTAATGCAATGTGTATTTTAATAACATCTCTAGTTAGAGTCAGGATGGTTGAGTTAAAGTAGGCTAAATATAAATTCTCAATCACATTTATGTGTATATACTTATATGTATTCAAGTAATTTTTATTTAAACAGTAAAGTTAATAAACAGCTAGTAAAGACTATATAGGAAGGAATCCTGGAATGAGAGGACTAGGAAATATTTTTTGTCATATCAGCTAGGTAATAACTTATGTAAATTTATCGTTTTCAGTTTCCATATCTACAAAAAAGAAAGGTGAACTAAATGATTAGTAAATTTCTTTCCAGATGTAAATGTCCATGATCCTAAGTCAGAGCATAGAATTGGTAGGCTTTAAGGGAGCCATGTTACACTTGCTGACAAGAAAAAATAATCCCAAAGAGTTTAGCTCTGTCGGAGTTTACCACCTTCCCTACACCCTCAGCTTACCTCCCTATGAGTCTTTTCTCAAAGTGAATATTAATCTAATAAATACACTACCTTTGTGCTGAAATAGGACCAGAAATGCAACAAAGATGATGCGACGAAGAAGATAATGATGTCATTATTCAATGGTAAACACTGAATGGAAGAGGTTTTGATTTAAAAGATGTTATACTTCCTAACCAGCCTCTGTTGCCACTGGCCTTTATGAAAATCCCAAAGGGAGATGCAACAGGCTGAGTAACCACTGGATGAGACTGAACTATGAATCAGAAATGATCAGATACAGCTGCTGATTTGTTAAACCCAGAATGCAAATACAAGTTGTAAAAACTAAATTTAACTGTTTGATTCTACTGAAATTTATCAAGCACAATTTTTGTGGATTTACTGTTTTACCAGCAGATGTCAGTGCAGCCTAGTTAACCTGTTTGGCAGATTAAATACCTCCCAGTCAACTGGGTGAAAATCTTAAAATAGCAGTTAAAAATTTGTCAATGTTTTTGATTAAGAATATCTTCTTAAGTGGAGCTCTAGAAAAATATCAACCCTTCAAACACTATTAAGTTAAAATGGGCCCTGGCCTAAGTAAATCATACCACATAAGTTATAACACATTGTTATTATGAAAATAATTTATCTGACAATAGGATTTCTTACATAAAAGACGTGATCTTGATTAAGTTGCAAATGCTAATCTGTGGTAAAATGTAAGAATAACAGCATTTTTAAAACTCACACATCATAGACACAAGAGCCAAACAAAATTCATTTGCCTCAGGTGACATATTTACAACTCCTAAAGAAACACATTAATTCCTAATGAATCCTAAAATATCTATAGTGTGATATAATTTGTTTTCTAGAATGTAGCCTTTTGCGTTTAGCAAAAGTTGTTAATCTAATGACAGTAACAGGAGTGCATATTACATGAGGAACAGTTACTTACATTATCCTCTATAATCTTTGTAACAGCCCGGCAATGTAGATACCTTTATCACCCACATCTGAGGATTCAGAGAGGGAAGGTAGGTGATCTGCCTAATAAATAAAGGTTACACAGCAAGTCAAAGTGACAGAAAGCAAGTGATTCTAAGGCTGTACTCTATTTTTTATGCAATACTCCATTCCTCTAAGAATGTTATTTTATGAGTTTGTATTGAAGAAGCTTCTCATTACTTTTTCACCATACTTAGAATTCAGGCTATATTTTCTACAATGATATGGGATACAATTAGAACTAGGACAAAATAAAGAAATATGTGTAAACTTACTTTTAAAAAGCACAAGCCAGTTTCTTACAGTTAAATACATACTATATAACCTAGCAATTTCATGCCTGGGCATTTACCCAAGACATACAAAAATAGATCCACACAAAGGCCTATACACAAATATTTACTGAAACTTTATTCATAATCATCAAAAGCTGAAAACATCTCAAATTTTCATCTACTAAAGAATAAACATACTGTGGTTTATTCATACAGTAGAACGCTATTCAACAATTAAAAGGAACAAACTACTGAATAGCATGGTTGAATCTGAAATCAGTAAGCGAAGTAGAAGAAGACAGACACAAAAGCCTACATACATTTTGATTCCAGATATATGACATTCCGGAAAA